TATTGGAAATGTGAACCGAATATTACCGAATCTCACCGGAAAGAGTCGAAGTCAGACGAGTGATCCCCTTACCGCGATTATCAGTTACCCCTCGTAAAAGGGTCCGTCTATAGAAGTCTATGGTAAATATGAGTGGATCTTCATCGGTGCGGACGTGACGCAGGCAATCTTGGGTGCCGATTTTCTCGTACGTCACAATCTTTTGATTCAACTTCGACAACGCCAACTCGTGGACGGAGAAACCAGAATGGGTTTCGTCGGACGTCTAGTCCGAGCCCTGTCTTCCGCCGTATCCACGATAGACCGCACGGCCCGATACGCAGATCTACTCAGGGAGCTTGCCGAGGTTGCCAGGCCGGCCCACCGCATCGAGCCCAGACACGAGGACCGCCGGTCGCCGAGCGGGCGAGACGTTTGCTACCGGAAAAATTATAAGCCGCCCGTGAACAATTCACACATTTGGTAGCTGAAGGTACCTGCAGCCCTTGGACCAGTCTTCTGCATCTATTCAAGAAAAAGACAGGGGATTGGCGTCGCAGCATTGCTTGCGCATCCACTGGACAATGCACCGCTACTACAACGCACTGATGCATCCACCAGAGCGACGCTGAGGATCATCCAGCGCAGTTTCGTGTGGCCCAACATGAACAGCGATCATATTGCTGCATGGACGAGGGAATGTCTCTTGCCAACGCAGTGAAATTCACCGCCACGCGAGGAACATTCCAAAACGCATAGCGATGCCCAACGCATGCTTCCACCACGTTCATTTGGATATCATCGGACGACTGCCGCCTTCGAGAGGACAATGCCTACTGCCTGACGTTGATTCCGTGGAAACTATCAGCACGACCTTCTATATCTGTATCATAAGGTTACTCGCTGATAATAATTATGAATATAGTATTGGCAAAGTTATTTTGGAAATCATACTTTAAATAAAATCGTTTTGTAATTACTACTGAAAACTTTGAGCTACTTTTCTTAGTGCCATCGTGCTGCGATGCCGAGAAGATATTCAATATTGGCGCCCGTGAGCGGCCATCTTGATCCACTTTACCCACAATGCCTAGGACACTTCCGTCACGTCGCCTACCTGCTTCCCTCTATCTGCAATAGCTCTATGCTTTAACCTCGAGACCCGCTTGGGACGTGGAGCGATAGGAATTGATAGGAATCCTATATCTATGGGAGCGAACAACACGTCTTTTAACCTAGAAGATAAAATTTTTGATCCTACGGGGTTGCATCATCTGACTGCGTCATCCCCTGCATTGTATAATTTTACCAATTGGAACGATAGAGAGAAGGGTGCCGGACGTCATAATTAGAAGAAGCTTTAACCCCGACTTAATTTGCCTTCATCTGTTTTTCATTCGTAGAACTAGAAAAATAAAAAAATGAGCTAAACGAGGGTAAAATTAATTCTGTATAGACGTGCGTCGTGTGCCGAAAAATAGGCCCTAGAGTCATTTTTTTTATCGACACAGTCGATTATAGTTTTTACACTTGTAAATCTTTTTATTGGCTTTTATGCACAAAATACCGGGATTGGTCGCGGACCGCGTAATGAAATTTAACATTCTCATATTTAAAACAAGACATTAGCGTTTGAAATTTTCAAATTTTTACTCGTATTAAATTTGAAGTTGGACTTAATAAAATTGCAAACTTCTTCCACACAATTAAAGTACGCGCAAAAACACGGCGGGAGGTTCTTATTTACGAGTTATCGAAAAAATGTAACCGAGTTAAGTTACAGACGGAAAGAAAGTAACGAAGTTAAGTTAGAGTTAAAAAAAAGTAACTGTAACTGGTAACAAGTTACCTCCCAACCCTGATATTGATTATACAACTTTGCGCAACGTACCGAATCTGGAAAGCGAATATTGAATATTTAAGGAAGACCGTATGCGCGGAGAGCGTCGAGCACAGAGACGCCAGGACTCGCTTTGGAGCGCGGTCAGGGCTTCGTGGCACTAACGCGTAACGTCCCGTGATCGCGACTCGTTAATCCCCCATCAAATTCGTCGCGCAAACCGACAAGTGGTCGCTTGCTTGTCGCTCTATTAGACCGGGACGATAAGCGGGAATACCGACAATAGGAAGGACGAGCGCGACGCGCATTCCGCCTTCCACCTCCCTCGCGCCCACGGACATCTGTGCTATTGGGGACACCCGGCCGTTGCATGGACGAGGACGGTACTATTGCACGTGGCTGTCAGCTGATACGCGGTCGCGCGCCTGCGGCACGTCAGCCTCCTTCCGTTCCTCCGGAACGTTTAACGTCCATTACATCAGTCGGAGCTGAGCTGTCGAGCGGGCCGGTGGCGTTCCTCTCTCGCTGTCGCGGGCTGTCCCCCCAGGCTCGTGAGTATACACTTGGCGTTCCTTCGGCCTTGTTAAAGGTAGCCTCGAAGCGGTCCAGTCTCGACGATTCAGTCTCGATTTCCAGTATGGTCGACTCGCCCGAGTGCGAAGGGAGAGGTGCGGAGTTTGAACGCGGGCACGTTGCAAAGTTCGTCTCGCGGAGCGAGATTGAAAGCGAGAGGAGCCGGAATTCGCCTCGCGCGAGGGGCCACTGGCGCACGGAGGAGAATGGACGTTCGATAACAGGAGTCCTGACTCTCGACAAGATCGAGGCCCGCAACACTCGCCGGTGCGTCGCGAGTCGCTTGGGATGAAATCGGGTTCCAGGAGGCGAAACGCTGGGCGGTTTGCGCCAGCATCGGGTTCGAGCGGGTCGCGTCGCGCTCGCCTTCCGGCGGAATCCGCCGACGTAATCTGACGGCAGGTCGGAAACCGGAGCGGAGTCTGTCGTTTCGTGAACGTTCGAGCGGAACGTGTCACTTTAATGCGAAGCAAATCGTTCGGTAGCCCGCGAAACGGCTGGATTCCACCCAGATAGCACAAGACACTCCTACGAACATTTTAAGAATATCCTTCAAGGATATTTGGAACATTCCATGGGTCATTCTTACATATTTATCTTATGTTCGTGGCACGTCCGACTGGCACTACTACAAGTCTTTTTCGAATGTGAATAAAATAATCGAATATAGCGTGTTGGTCATAGATGGTATAATAACTGGTTTCACTGCCTTTTGCATAAGATAAGTGTATCACACAATAAACAATGTGCGATACATAAACTCGGTGAATATTAAAAATTTATTCTGAACGAATGTTCCAAAGACATTCTCCACGGATATTCTAAAAATGCTCTTCTTCGTTACGAATGTACGACTTCTAATTGTAATAATCGATACATATATATATTTATAGAACATTCGATTGGAATATTCTGAAATTAAGAATATTTGCACCCCAGAAGAATATTCGTAGAACTACGTGTGCTATCTGGGCTCGATTCCTGAATTCATTCGAAGGAGAAGCGTATACGAAGATTCTGCTCTTGCAGAAAAGCTGCAAGTTGACTGGCTATTGATTGCCTACTCGAATTTATTCGAGATGCGTATGCGTGTCAGAAAATTCTGCTCTATAAGTCAACTGGCTGAAAGCTATACGAATCAACTTGCAAACTTTTCTGTAAGAACAGAATTTTCGCATACGTTTCTCTTTTCAACGAATTCAAGAATCGACCGTCACGACTCGCCAACAGACTCCGTATTGTATTCGCTGGCAGGCGGAATTTGTATAGACACTTCGCAGAGGCGAATTTGGCTGTGTAACGTTCACTTTTATCAATGTAGATTAATTTTAATCTCGGTTTACTTTTCGCTACGAGGGAGATAACAGCGAACCGAGCTAGATATACGTGCTAGATGTGAATATAAGTTAAGCAAATCGACACATGTCGCTTTCCATTTATTGCATTTTTTCTTTCCGTTTTCCTGCCCTCGGGAGGAGAGTCGGAATGTGTTTCTGACCGTTTTCGACAAAACCTTTTCTCAAAATCTTTGCCATTTTACAGTGGCAAGTTGTGCTCGAGTGTGTTAACTTGTGTCGATTTGTGTCTCCTAAAAGGAAAGCAGCCGTAAGATCGTCTTCCAGTGCGCGATGGTGGAAACGATAATTGCAAAAATAAGTCGTTAAACGTCTAGTCGTAAAATGTAAAACATGGATATAGAAATTTGATAGCCTGTCTGTAATTTTAAGCGGAACTCGAGTTGGTTGGACAAAAAAACGTCGAGAGTCTCTTGATGTGAAGTTGGGAGCGCCAGCACGAACAGCTTAGCTCGGCTCGCCGGCTCTCTTATCTCCTTTACTTTAAATTTCCTAACTTGCGTTTACCTTTTATTTTCCACTTTCAAGAGCTGGAAAGAGATTAAATTACTCGTCTGTAGCCTTGCGATTGTTTCTCAATTATTTCCAACGGTCGCCGACTGCGAAATTGTTGCGATTATTTTTTTCCCCCGTTCAGCAATTACGCGAATGTGACACGTCTCGACAACCTGCGGATTTTTAATTTAAGTGTATATCGCGCGACGCATAAATTTACATCGATTACAAATGTCAATTGCCGACGGTCGCGGATGAGTGACTTTCAGTTTTTGCCTTGCATCTACATTTTTATTACTTGCGCGAACGTGGCGACCTTCCTCTTTTTCGAGCCGCCTCCCCCAAAAATGTGTGCCAATCACGCGCCCAGAATTGCCGTTATCGCTTTAGCGTGATTTTATTTGGTTTTAATTTTAGCACGCGGCTCGAGTAACTTGTTCAGCAGGAATTTCTGGTTTATTTGCGTACAGCATCACAGAGCAGTGCAGAAATTTCGTCACACCTTATCTTAAATCTAGTTTTAATTTAAAAAAAAAACGGGAGCAGAATTTGCGGAAGATTTAATATTATTTGCCACAAGATATACGCACCGTAAAGAAATTTGCATTATTTTTCACGCTTTTGTGAAAGCCACATGTATCTTTCTACCTTATGATCTTCGTTAACTCTGGTATTCCAATTTTTCAGCCTCTTCCTCTTCTTCCTGTAAACTATTTCCAACGTCGAGATGGGAGCCGTCGTTTTTACATGATGACCAAACGATGCAAAACATTCCGTCTTATTAGCATACATTAATTTATCAGGTAAGATAAATCGATTACTTTTTTTTTAATAAATCAAGTACAGGTTTTGTAATTGATAGTTCTACTTGCAGTGCCAGAGTAGCAGCCTTAATGCCACAAATATGTTCCTAATTTGATCGTCGTTTGATATAAGGTGGAAAAAATAGGCAAAACAATGACTGACAAGAGCAAAAAATTATCACGCTGGTACTTCGGTGGTGTTTCTTCTGCAGCTGCTGCATGCGTGACCCATCCTCTGGATTTACTGAAGGTGTTGCTTGCGTATCCTACTTTTTGTAAACCTTTTTGAACTCGTTGGTTAAAATGTCGGAAGATTATGTCAATCTATTTGTACAATCAGAAATTGTTTGAAGTCACCAATAAATATCCAATTCCCGTTGTAGGCACGTTGCGAAGAGATCTGTAAGGCTGAACGATTGGATCTTTTTTCCAGGTTCACTTGCAAACTCAACAGGAAGGCAAGCTGTCGATAGTACATTCTACTGTCGGAATAATTAGGAAACAGGGAATATTAGCTTTGTACAATGGACTCAGTGCTTCCTTACTTCGCCAACTTACATATTCTACAATAAGATTCGGCGCATACGAAGTCGGTACATGCGAATCTTACACGCGCCAACTATCAGCATATAAACCGTTCGTTTCTCAATTTATTATAGACAGGTCATGTTGTTGAATAGGTCGGCAAACAGACGCTCGAGTCGTCTGGTCCATTACCCTTTTACCAAAACCTGCTGCTAGCTGGAGTTTCGGGTATCACGGGTGGTGTTTTCGGGACTCCCGGTGATGTGATTAATGTACGCATGCAGAATGATATCAAAGTAGCGCCAGAGCTAAGGAGAAAGTAGGAACTGAGACGTCCTTATGTTTGCTCATTCAACTTCGCCTGTCTTGCTAATATATTACTTTGTCACGCAGCTATAAACACGCACTGGATGGACTGCTCCGTGTAATCCAGCAAGAAGGGGTCCGCCAATTGTTCAGTGGATGCTCGACCGCGACCATGAGAGCAGCGCTGATGACCATTGGACAATTGAGCTTTTACGATCAGATTAAAATGACGCTGCTGCAAACTGGCTATTTTCGGGATAATCCTTTGACGCACGTTCTATCCAGTGTAGCGGCAGTAAGTGTCTGTAAATGTTGAGACTCGTCATTCCAAGTCCATGCCGCGTTCAAAGAATATATCGTTTTATGTGATAGGGCGCTATTGCGACAACGCTTACGCAACCTTTAGATGTATTGAAGACACGAGCAATGAACGCTAAGCCTGGAGAATATAAGGTAGATACACCTGAAATGGATTAAATTTTAGAAAAGCATATAATACATGACTATTATTTTCCATATATAGAATCTAATGGAAATCTTCCTGTATACTGCCAAACTCGGTCCACTGGCTTTCTTTAAAGTGAGTATGATTGAAAGATCCTCGTATTGGCATTAACAAATAATTTCAGTCATAAAATCTCCTTCGTTAAAATTGTTTCTATTTTAGGGCTACGTACCTGCATTTATCCGGTTAGCACCGCAAACCATCCTCACATTTGTATTCCTCGAACAACTTAGATACAATTTTGGATTCTATCCACAATCCGTGAAGCCATCGTTATAAATGTTGAAATAGTTTTGATAAGCGGAACTTTTGTAAGATTGAAACGGGTTCCTTTCGTGGCAGATTGTGCGGAAACAATCGGATAGTGTCAAACCTTACCACATAAGTGGCCACGTAATATGAGAAACTGGCAGGTGTAAACGTTTACAGCGAATACATTCAATTATTCAGTCGCACACAGTTCGGTTTAATGATAGAGCTTTAAGTAGAAATTAATTATTACATTTCTCTCTAGAGATGTTTCAGTCAAAAATCCTGTTGCAATCGATACATTCCTTATATTTATTGTGATGTATATTTACGTTCATACAAAAATACATATTTTAAAGTATATTATTTTATGTATATATAAAAAAACAGCACAGATTTATACTTGTATTAAATTATCTTTTACACATATATAAAGTGACTCGGATAGCATTCATGTCTAAAAGATATCCTTGAGACGGCATTTAATTGTTTTTTAGACGTGCACGCTTAAAAGGTGTCTTAAAGATATCTTTATGTCTTTTAGACACGCATTGCTATCTGGGTGATGTTTAAGTACAAAGAACGAAAGGGTATATTTACTTAAAAAAAAGCCAGCTTTTATAAATCTATCTTTTTTAAGGCCTTGTATACTTCAAGTTATTCCACTTATGCTGTATTATACCAATTACCAATGAAATGTATAGTACAATTCGTAAAAGAGCTTTAGCTAATCGTACAAAAAAATATTTTTCTTAATTATTGAGATATGATGACAAATATGCTTGTTTTAGCAGTATGAATAGTTTGCTATTGAAAATGTAAGTTATTTTTATGATGAAAATATTGTAATGACTTTTTTAAATTTCTGCATACCTGTATGGGTTATGAGTGAAAATATAAAATGTATTCCAAGTCCAATACGAGTAAAATAAATGTTATAGAAGATTAGTAGTAAATTGGAATTGACATTTCAATAGATTGATTAGATGTAATAGAGATAGTTGAATAATAGATTGGCGACATGAACCAAGTAAAATTGGTTATTTCACAGGATTTGAGAATATTTCAATACAAATACAAAAGTTAAATATAAAATTCTTGGTTTTGTCGTCAATCGATTGTTGTATTTACAGATTCTGTTACATTTTCTGTTTGCATTCTGCCGACAAAAATTTATAGCACTTTGCGATATCCGTCTAACAGGTTCGATTGTGTGAGCTCCCTAGTGAGAAATGACTCGTCATTTTGTCGAATCGATGTCGAAACCGTAAATGGACATTGCTTCGCCGTCCATTAACAAATTATTTCTCGCTGGTCCGGTAATCTTTTTTTTTTCTAATCGTGAGCTACCAGTTTTATTCTAAAGAATTGATGGAAATAAATGTGCATATCATAAATGTATATCCATGTTTTTGGTGCAAACATTAGATACTTGTAAATACAATAATATTACTATTATAGTGATTCCAAAGTTTGTTCACAATATTTCTGAAATGTTATTGTAACATGGCACTGCAATGTACAATATTGTAACGTTGTTGTAGTGACAAGGTTCTGCGCTGCATGGAATGCTACATATGAGACTACTTAAGAGGAACGATAATTTGCTTTGGTTTAGTAAGGTTCATGTACGTTTTCTCAATATCGTTTTCTAAGAAGAACTGTTTCGCATAACTCGCATAGTCCATTCCACATAAAGTTAATTAACTTTCAGCGCCTTTATATTTAAGCTTGACAACAAATTTATAACACCCGGCGGTATCTCGGATACCGAAAACATGTTACAATATGATATCAGATTACAAGAATTTGCGTCGCATATCACGATAACTGAATTGCCAACGGTTAAAGTTTGCATTAGTCGACGAAATAAAACAGTTTCGTTTGCTTCCTTCAAAATAACAATGCCGTTTGGGTTACGAAGTTTTGTTACTTCCAACGCACCACTTTGTGCGCAAGACAGAGAATTTTCATAGATGCACGAGAATTTTATCCATTTTAATATTTTGTCAGCCAAATTGTATTCGCTGAAGAGAAATGAGAAAGTGCTATAAGAATTTATAAGAAACACTTTCTTTTAACTTAACACATAATACATACCCATTGCGAACTAACGTAGATGCAAACTTGGATAATATTTGTATTCTACAAGTAACAGATTTACTACTCCAAATTTTGAACCCTTGCTCGGCTGAGTTAATACAGTTGTCAACATCGTCACTACAATATATCAATAATAAATCGTTCATATATCAAGAAACATAAATTTCAGACGACTATTGTAATTAAGATCAAGAGAGTATATGTATAACTGTACCTTGTTGCATTTGCCCATTCGCAATTACCATGTATCCAATATGTGTCTTCGACAGGTTGTTGCAATATACCATCGTAAAATAAATTGTAAACTGAACCTTTTCGCTTAACTAAAGCTTGCTGAGCTTTCTTTGGGCTTCGCTTTTTTTTAACGGAAACGTTGAAACTAGGGCTCAACAATCTACGCCACTTTTCGTCGTGTACTTTGATCATATATGGCAAGAGAACGATACCACCGTAGAAATCCATGTGCGTATTTATAAATAGAACGTCTCTCTAAACAGTCCAATATAAAAATTATATTAATAATGTTGGAAATATTTCTCTCAAGCAGCACATTATAATTAAAATGCTATACATTTATTAAAGACATCGCCAAGTTTTTGGCAAATATAATATCTTCCGTCCATATGGATACCATGTTCATTTCGTACGGTGTACTGAGTGTAAGCAACTCTTTCATCGTTCGAAATGTACAAATAGATAAGGAATCCACAGTCAAAAATTCCTCCAAATATTCCTCCACAAGCCATAAAAATTTCTCTTTTATTGGCTCCTGGACCCAAACTTTAGTAATAGGTTCGCGCATTGTGCTGGTTGTATTCCTCAAACATCTAATGGCCGCATAGAGATCTGAATCTCCCAGAAGTATTATTTCATTGGTGTGATCACCTAAAATATTAAAAAATTTTGATTACATGAGAAGAGATACAAATTTTTATTCCATTAGTAAAGTGTTTTTCTTACAACCAATTTCGCCTCTCAATTGTTCGTATCGAATTTTCAGTACTGAATTGTCGCTGAAATACAAAAACAATTTGTATATAAAATTACTGACCGTATTAATTTCAACATAAAAATACAAGTGACAATTAAATTAATATATTTAAAAGTGTAACATTTTTATTGATTACATGATGGCATTTTCCAAAAATAATTGCACCTCCCGATGCATATCGCTTTCACATATTTTCAAGATTGTCAGTACTACTAATATAACTACATCATCTTTCTCGTATTCTTCATCTAAAAGAAATTAAATAAAAATACTTAAAACAGAATACAATCTGAAATATTTCTGTGTACTATATGTACATTCATAAACGAAATAAGAATTGTATAAAATGCTGTATTTGCATATAACAGAATAACAGAATGTCAACATCCCAGATAGCACGCATGTCTAAAAGACATCCCAGTCAGCAAATTGTTAGCAGATTGGCATCAGATTAGCAACAGATTCATCAGAAACCCACACCAAAACCATAGTCATCTGTGTCCGCATTTGGCTTTTGTTTTGGAAACAGGGTCTGTAAAACAATACGCTGCCAACAGATTGTCGGTAGAAACCGAACGGGTTCAGTTATGCGAGCAGATTTTGTTGTATTGCTACTGACACGCTGGCAACAGGTCGACTATATCTGCTCTTGTATGCAATCTGTAGTCTTTCTGCCTTCAAAATTTCTAGTGGGCATTTGACGAAATCTGTTCCGACAGATTTGCCTATCTAGGATCTTTAAGACAGGGCATTAAGTTGTCTCTTACTCTAGACATGTACGTCTGAAAAGTGTCCGAAAGATATCTTTATGATGTCTTTTAGACGTGCATTGCTAGCTGGGATGTTTCTTTAATTCGTGATTTACGAAAAGATAATATTACCATATTTTGTGCCAAGCGTAAACTTCATGCCGAAATACTTTAAATATTCAATAATGGTGGTAAGTACATCCGGAATATCGCAAGTAACTTTGAAAAGAGATAAATTTTCTTCGATTACAGATACCGCTTTGAGAAATCTGTACGCAAGTAAAAGTGACAAATATGAATGCAACATTTTCACCGTGTTCAGAATTGATTTGTTTACCTCTCTGAGAAGTCGTTAACATCTCTAAATTTCATTTCCTTCCCTAAATCATGTACCTTCGTTAGCGCTTTCTAAAAATACATCGTAGAAAGTAGTGTCACATATTTCACGGATATTACAAACTTCAATTTTCATAATTTATTAACAATATATATTCAGGCATTCATATTACATATCTTTACACTCACACGTTTGTCCTGAAATTCACCATACTCCAAATTAGTGTAATATTTTTCTATAGCTGTTACTCGTTCGTCCATGATTATACTAATCAATTCCAATAGTCTTAAAAATTAAAGATACATGCACCCGCGATTGATCATCGATCTAAACACGATGAGGAACGAATAGACGCGTAAGAATATCTCAATATGGAGCAGTAAATCTCGAGGATTTTGCAAGGCACTTCATAACTGATGCAGTTGACGATATTTTCTGCTAATTCTCCGTACTGATAAGGTATCTAACCACCATTTATCAGTACCTTATCAAATCTCTATGGGTGCGTTCACGGAGTGTGCTGTTGGCGCTGGAAGCGTTTATTTTTCTTCTCTTTTCTTTTAGTAAAGATAAAAAGAGAGGAGAAATGCTTCGAAGCGTGTGCAGCGGCAACTTGACAATGGCCTTTAACGTATAATGAGCGACAATGACGCTTTCAGAGCTCCGGGAATTTAAGCTGCATAGAATCTGAAACGAATCTCCCGCGCACTAAAATTACAATTAAAGTGCTCTTCCCCTCTCTCTCTATTCCATTCTCCTGTTTCGCTTACTCGAACGCAATATAGGAAATGCGGAATTCTGCCTTATTATACTTACCATACTCGAGAATGATGAATTGATTTTACGTATTAAAACACGTCGATGTGATAGAAAATCGCTTAGACATTTAAGACAAAGAACTTTGGAAGTTGAGTAAGAACAACTATTGCTCTTGCATTTGAAAAATATATAATGTTATTATATGGAAATTATAAAATATAAGAAAATATATATTATACATATACATACAGATCGTAATATTTATGTGCATACTTTTGTTGCAAATAGTAGATATTACATATTAATTCTATTTAAGAGGCATAATAATTTGCTTAGGTTCAGTAAGGTTTATGTATGTCTGGTCGAAATTGTTATCCGAGAACAACTGTTTTGCATAGCTTTCGTACTCCATCTCGAAAAGAGATTTTTCTAGCTCCTTTATATTTGCAGTTGACAACAAATTTATAACACCAGGTGGTATCTCGGATATTGAAAACATATTACAATATGGTACCAGACTACAAGAATCTGTATTGCATATCACGATAACGGAATTGCCAACGGTTAAAATTTGCATCAATCGACGAAATAGGACAGCTTCATCTTTCTCTTTCAAAACGATGACGCCCCTTGATTTGCGAAGTTTTGTTACTTCTAACTTTCCACTACTTTGTGAACAAGATAGAGAATTTTCATAGATGCACGAGAATTTGATCCATTTTGATATTATATCTGCCAATGCAGACTTGCTGAAAGGAAACAAGAAAGACCAGTGGTTAAAAAATTATCGTTGAAAAGAATTAAATACGAATATACAAACTATAAATATATATAATTTTTGTATTAACTTAACACACAATACATATACATGTACATACCCGTTGCTTTCTAATACCGACGCAAATTTGGATAATATTTGCTTTCTGCTAGTAACAGATTTACTACTCCAAATTTTGAATCCTTTCTCGGCCGAACTAATGCACTTCTTAACATCATCACTGTAACGACAAAATCAATAATAAATGAATTTTGTATAAATCTTGGAAAATTATAATTCAGACGTAGAAAATGAGTATCTGTAATTACCTTGTTGCATTTGCCCACTGGGTATCATCATGTATCCAATATGTGTCATTCACAGGTCGTTGCCACGCACCATCGTAAAATAAATTGTTAACGGAACTTTTTTGCACGTTTTGCACTTTTCCAGGATTGTCAGGAGCAAAATAAAAATGGCTCGATTCTAATGTCTTCTTAAACGGTCTTGCGAATGGCAACAGCACGATACCACCATGGAAGTTCATGTACGTATTTATAAATACAACATCCCTCTAAATAATTGAATACAGAAATCATATTAGCAATAGTTGGAAAATTTTTTAAGCAGTATTATGTTTTACAAATGTAATACTATACATTTAAAGGCATCGCCAAGTTTTTGGCAAATACAATATCTTCAGTCCATATAGATACTATGTTCATGTCATATGGCCTAACTTTATCTGTAAACAACTCTTTCGTCGTTCGAAATGTACAAATGGGAAAGCAGGAAGAGTAATCTTCCTTCAAATCGTTCAGCAAATATTCCTTCAGAAGCCATAAAAATTTCTCTTTTATTGGCTCCTGGATCCAAAATTTGGTGTTATGGTCGTGCAGCATTTCAGGTGTATTTTTCAAACATCTAATAACTGCATACAAATCTGAATCTCCCAGAAGTATCATTTCAGTGGTGCATTTACCTATAAAATATTTAAAAACTTTGATTACGAGAAGAGATATAAATTTTTATTCCATCAGTGTCAGTAAAGGGTTTTTCTTACCAAGACGACATTCTCTTAATCGATGAATGTAACCTTTGCTGAAATACAAAAACAAGTTGTATACAAAATTGATGAACGTATTAATTTGGACATAAGAAACATAAGTTAACATATTTAAGAGTGTAACATTTTTATCAGTTACCAGATAACATCTTCTAAAAATGGTTTCATCTGCGGGTGTATCTTGTTTTCACTTATTTTCAAGATTGTGAATAACAAGACTAAGTCGTCCTTCATGTATTGTTCATCTAAACAAAATAAAAAAATGCTTGAAACAAATTACAATCTGAAATATTTATGTGCACTATTTACTGAACGAAATAAGATTTGCATAAAACACAAATAGCAGAAAATCAATATATTTCTTTAAATTGCGATTGCGAAAATAATATTACCATATTTCATACTGTCAAGTGAAAACCTTGCGCCGAAATAATTTAAGTGTTCGATAATAGTAGTAATTATATCTGGATCTGTGCAAGCAGCTTTGAAGAGAGGTAAATTTTTTTCGATTAAAGACACCGCTTTGAAGTATCTGAAAATACACAAGCAAAAATCACAAACGTGTACACACGCAACTTTTTTTTATCGCGTCGCTTATATTTAGAATTGAGCCCGTTTACCTCTCAGTGAAATCGTTGACATTCCCCAAGTTTATTTCCTCTATTAATTCCTCTGTTAAATCGTACAACTTCGTTCCTATCACTTCCTAAAAATATACATAAAAAAAGAGTCATATATTTTCCAGATAACAGCTTAAGCAGCTCAATTGTTTACGAATATTATAACTTTTATAATTTATTAACAGTACGTTCATACATACTGATGTTTCTTTAACGTTCCTTTGATATTCCAAATTGGTATAATATTCATCTATAGCTTTCAGTCGATCGTCCATGATTGTAACAACTGATTCGAATATTCTTAAAGACTTAGACACTTGCACCTGCAATTGATTATCGGTTCAAAAACAACGGAGAATGGATAAATGACTATATGCGTAAAAAGATCTCAATATGGAGCAGCAAACCGCGAGACTTATGCAACTTTGTAACTGATAGCTGATTGACAATATTTGCTACATAATTATCAGTACTGCTTATCAAACGTTAGTACAGAGTCAGAAATTGCTCTGGCGAGAAAGAACACAGAATGATACAAAGAGAGAACGTTGGACACTCAGCCCATTTTGTAATAAATAGAGAAGGAACGTCTGCGCGCTAACACTACCTGCAAAAGCGGACACGAACTGCATAGCCACATGTACTTTGCGATACTGTCGATACGTTGTCCGTGTGGCGCGTGTTACAAATTCAGAAACTGTGAATCACGGAAAGGTATCCAATTATTTAATACTATCATTCGTATACACAGGGTAGGCTGAAATACAACCCTGGAAATTATCGGGAAGGGAGTGATTTTACTCGTCAAACTATGTCGAGACAATAAACAGATTGTTTAAGCTTTGCCTTCAAGAAAAAAAATCTGGAAATTAATCAAGCAAAGGTAAAAATGATTGCGTTTAAGAAATTAAAAAAAATACCCTGGCGGAAATAATTCTACAAAGTTCTACAAAAAAATAATATGTATATGTATACTACCAGAATCTAAGAAATTCTACGTAAATTTAAAGTGTTATAAAAATCAACATGAAAATGCTAGAATTGGAACACTTTTGTTAATTTTTGTAATATTCTACAAGTGGGCGGATGTTTTAATTCTTTAAGACTTTGTTGTTTCTCAAATTTTTTAAACTAGTAAAGTTTTGTACTAATTTTGACAAAATTGTACATTTTCATGAAATACTACTTGCAGTAATTTCTTCACCTAAGAACATCGTAATTTGTGGCACTGTTTCGTAGATGTTTTTACAAAAAAAAAATTAATGTTTCAACGAAGATATAAAAATTTATCTACAAATTTCTATTTCAAGTCGACATTTTGTAGTTATTTATAGAAATTTGTTTCCGCTAGGGTATATACAATGTGTATGTACAATATGTATTGTACGTATATGTGTATGCATGTTTTATGTTATTATCCAACTGTCGATTGACAGAATAACGAAGCGTCGTCACTTATATATAGATGGCGCGACGGATACAGTTTGCCAGCGAGAAATGACTTGTCGATGGATGTCGAATTGACGTCGATTCGAGATCAATTTGAAAGTGTCGATTCGACATCGTTTCGACATCGTTCGACGAATCATTTCTCGCTGGGTTTGCTATTATCGGCATGATACAAATCCGCTAAAAACAATCTGTTTTAATTAAATTCGCACGTGTAATTTTATATATGACGAAACGGTCAACATTTTCAACAATACATCTGAATTAAATAAAATTATTTTTCGTCTCACATTAATTTGTCTATTCTGCTGGAAAAAAATTAATTAATTGAATATTGATCCTGATAGAAAACAATTTATACAGAACATAAAAAATATATATGTATATGTCTAAAATATAAAAGATTGCATATTATAATTATTGAAGATTGCATACCCGAAACGCCGATCGGGAGTTTGACAATTGTTTTTTCGACGCGTACTTCCAGCCTGCAGACAGTAAGGGGGCTAAAAAGAGATCCCCGAGATAAAATGACGTTCCTCGATATTTATTTCTTATGTCTCGTAGAGAGTTACATGTTAAATTATATGGATACAAATCATGGAGACAACCACACGTTGCACTGAGCCCTTATATATATCGTGGGGATAAATAATTAGGTTGAAGAGAAAGAAAACACAACTATACTTTTAGTTTTACTTCAAGGCACATATCCACTCTACTAGATTAATCGCGATCGGTAACACTTATATGTTACGCGATGGCGTTGGTTCTTCTTGTCTATCGCCTTTCGTGTTTCGACAATCGACCTTTGATTCATATCCCGCGTTGCGAACGCGCTGAAACTCTTATTTTCCTGCTGCAGCCGTATCGAACAACGATGTGAGAAGCGGGGAATGCGAGTCTCTTTCTTTCGTCTAGACGTGGGCATAAATTAACTTTTTCGCATCACCATCACTTCGGGTTGCTGACGTCATCTTTGCGTCAAAATTATGTTTTCTTACGACGCCTGGAACGCGTCTGATACTATAAAGATTGATGAAATATATTAACCTTTATTTGTAAAAATATCGGTCTTTCTTCTTTTTTTATATTACAATATTAATATTATATTAATATTATACGAAAACATGAGGCAAGAGGGAAACCACGGAGTCAATCACGAAAGTCGATCCGAAAGTGGCAACTAAATCCCAGCTCTGATTTATTTTGCTGGCATTTTGTACATAACGTTTATCGTTTGTTTAGTCTTATTATACATTTCCAACGTGATTTAGAGAAGAAAGATACGTTAAGCAGGCTTGCTTCTTTCAATCGCCGAGAGGTAGTTGACTCCACTTTTCGACTTGTCAATTAACAAACGGCTGGAAACCTTGATTAACTATCGCATCATTCATTTTTTACTGAAATATTGGATTTACATTTAATCATATTGATAAAATAATGGAACTTTTCGATATATCTCGTCGATTGATACCCGAATACGATGACACGAATCGATCTGTCTTAATCTGTAAGGGAGAAAACTTCTTCTAAGAGATTGATTTCCCGCTTCTAACGTGATAAATTCATTACGGCTGCAGTGGAGAAACGGAGGAGCTTTAAACTCGCCTCCGGACGGACGAACTTGGACGGACTCTGTAAAGGCGTGAATTAGAGCGCAGAAATTGACACACCAATTCAACTAAGTTAATTATTATATCACACACCAGCGTAATTAGTATCGCCTCCGACAATTGTACTCTAATGTTATCGTGTAGCCGTACACGTGATAATAAAACGCGAGACTTAGGTGCGGGGTGTCGCTTAAAATACCGCGGCGTCTCTTTGACCATTCCATTCTTTTTTTTTCTAATCGATCCTCTTCCGTCACTAACGAAATTCCCAGAAATTCGATCATGCACTGTCACGTTGAGAATCGCAATCGTCGTTTGCCGATCATTCATTTCCAGGATTTCGCCGCAACCGTCGAACCAGCTCTATCTCGTGATTGGATTGCACTTGTTGAAGCGGCTCCCACTCTTTAATTGCGAGCACTCAGAGATAGATTCGCTATTAAAACATGAGGCAAGAGGGAAACCGCGGAGTCAATCACGAAAGTCGGTGCGAACGTTGCAACTAAATCCCAGCTCTGATTTATATCGCTGGCATTTTGTACATAATATTTAGCGTTCGTTTAGTCTTGTCATACATTTCCAACATGATTTAGAGAAGAAAGGTACGTTGAACAAGCCTCCTTCTTTCAATCGCCGAGAGGTATTTCTCGGGACACCCCACGTACAACAGTGTAGGACTCTAACGCATACTTCTACGTTTCACCTATACTATAGTTCCATACAACGAAACATCGCCGTAATCACGATATTATTAATAATGGTAATAATAATTCCTATTCGTCCAGAGAAAGAGTGTGAGAGAGAGAGGGGGGAGGGAAGGGAGGGGGGGGGGAGAGAGAGAAAGGAAGGGAGAGATGACACAGGGTATGATAAAATAGAAACTGCAGTTGCGCTGTGTGTCCTGCTCGATATGTACAAAGTTATTAATACTTTAACGTATAAATTTTTAAACTTATCGGAACATGCAATTGATTGCGACGCATGTCTCTTCCTGAAATGCGTGTTACACATTTTCTCCTCTTACGCGGTAAAAATCGAAGCAGGAGACACTGGAATATGCCATTTAAATGCAACGATAGAAAATATTGTACGCATTACGCTAATCGATCGATCTGGCGTACATGTATATATATGTATATTGTATATAAATGTGTGTATACGTATATACGTGTACTCACGGGTAATTCATCTTAATGTATCAATTCAATTATTTTTCATTTCTTTCTTACTTCAGAAAAAAGTACTTCAAACTTTGTAACTTCAGATTTTCAAGTTTCAAGGGGGAGAATTTAATTGCGCATCTTTTTTATATTGTGCGTTTTATCAAATCTCAAATCGATAATTTTGTAAAAATAATTACGTGACCTTTTTACAAAAATTTCAATAATTATGTGGAGTATTTTACATAATTTATATAATTTTTAAAAAAATTTTAATAATACATTTTACGTAAACCAGTTTTTTAGTTCTGTATATAAAAGTGCTAAAGACATTGAAAAACTCGCAGTTTATAAAATATTTCATATTTTACTTTGACACAAAATATGAACTATCTTTCTCCAGAACTTTTTAATCGAAACACCATTCCTTTCTATTGCAAAATGAGGGACAACCGATACATTGAAATGAGGAAATAACTGACCATATTACATTAAAATATTCCGTCCCGTGTATTCACTATATACCTATATACATTTATTTTATATATACACATATACACACAGACATATATATGTATATATGTATATGTATAACGCATTGCTTAAGAATACACAAGGGATACTCTCTAATTATTCCAAGGCACGATGCGTGAATTGTTTTGCCGCAAGGAGCACGGTCATTCTCCAGGCAAGGAGGAATATCGGTGCAAAGGAATGAAACTCAAAAAGGGACTTCGACGATCAAGAAATCAGGAAAGAAAATCGCAATGTACCAATGGCTGCGGTGCGAGCTGAAAAATACGGATGGAGATGCGGCGCGAGAACAAATGCCCAAATAAACACCACGAATCGTTATACGATGCGGAAACTGCATATTTATCGAAACAACGAATGTATCTCTCGTTACATCGAAAGGGATGTCGCTCATATGTATCCTTAAATCCATGAAATATATCAAAAGCACTGATATTGCTCATCGCCCATACAGCACCGAAGCTTTCGGAAACATTTCAGGAACGTTGCAACATTGCAATGTTTTCTGAAATGTTTCTGCAAGCTGTGGTGCTGTACGGGCGTTTAACCCTTCGTTTAAAGCCGATTGTGGCTAATATTTCGCGACGTAATGTATAATAACGCTTCAATTCAAATTACGATGTCCTGTCATCAGTAGCCGTTTCGGCATTAATTATACATCAGTTACAGTCGTTATATGTAACGACGATTGCTGACGGCGATAATTCCGCTATTTTCTCTGCAGCCATATTGTACTAGGACATCAGGCACGAGGGCTCGTGTAAACCTTCTTTTCTTCATGTTTACACGTTACACATTAATCGTATGTACACACTATGCACGCGTACGTACGTACTGCACGTCAGAATAAATTTTTTTTGCACCCCCCCCCCCCACACGTTTAACAGTATAGATCAATGAAATGGTGTGCATGCGTGTGCATCGAGGATTCTCTTCTTCTGATTAAACAATTGTAAATTTGATTAGTTGTCTTGAATTTTATTTTCGAGACATGACTGAATTAACCCATCAAGTTCTACGCTTTTCTGTTTTAAATCCTTGCAACTTGAGTCCCAATCAACTCCTCTTCGACTAGATTTTTTTACAGTATTAACCACTTTTTATCCTCAAATATAATCAATCGCGGTTTACAAATTTTGATTAGAACTCTAGTTACGAGGATTTAAAGCAGAAATGTAGACCCCGCGTAGGGGCCTTTTAGGACTTAATGGGTTAGAGGTTGAATTAATGCAGAATAATAAAAGGAGGGGAGTTTTCGGTATATTTTTACTTGAATCTATATCGCGCCCGAGCATACGAGAAAGCTAATTTACATCAATGTATAAAGTAAGAGGAAAGAAAAGGGGGGAAAAGGTTCACGTGCCACGAATTCGCCTCTCGCTTCTCGCGTCACAGTCCAATGCGGTTCCAATGAGGAAACAAGAGCTTTAAGACCATCTGCCTAAGCGCGTTTCAAATTGCGACGTTGCAATCACTCGTTGTATCGTTTGCGCCTGTCAACTCGCTGTTAAGGAAGAAGAAAGAAGATACATACTCGCTTTTCTCTCTCTGGCCTTTCTTCCCTAACGGCACTTCTGTTCTCGCCCTCGACTGCGGTCGCAAATAAATCGCGATTTCGACTACGAAATTAATGTCTGCCATTTTATGTAACAAATACACGATCGCATCGAACTTTTGCGCCCGCCTGCTCCTGGACGTGAATTATTTAACTGTCGTTCGCGCACGTTTCACCGCAACCACGCGGAATGAAACCCGCGAATTTTGACGGGGACCAAGAATCGGGATTGCGCCGTGATTCGCCATCGTGAAACGGGAGAAATCGTGGGACACATGCAGAGAGACAAGAACGCTCTTCCGTTCCGTACGAAGAACCCGATGATTCCTGAGAGACGTTTGCGAGGGAGGGAGAGAGAAAGAGAGAGGGAGAGAAGGAGCGGAGGGGGCACTTAGAGGGAGTTTAGAGGGTGTCCAAGAGGTCGAGAAGCTCCAGCTGATTATTTTCGTCCCAGCCAGCGATCAGCAGGCTCGTGAAGTCGTCCTCGCTCAGGCTCACCTGCGTCGACTCCGGCACCTCCGACAGACTGTCCGGGATGGGGGGCGACACGCTACTAGGCGGAGTCTCGTACAGGGTGTTCGAGAGGCAGCTGGTGGGCGGCGTGCAGCTGCTGCCGGTGTGAAGGGCGTTAAGCGTCGTCGTCGCTGCCGCCACCGTGCTCGTCGTCGACGTCGTCGTCGTAGTCGCGGCCGCCGTGGAAGGGGACTGTCTCTTGGTGCCGCGCGTCCGTTGCGAGATCGCGGAGCGGCGCCTGGACCGTTTGCCTTCCTCCATCCTCTCGAGGTCCAGCTTCCAGAAGCCGCCCTTGCCCGGCTCGTCCTTGGACCGCGGCAGCTTCACGAAGCACTTGTTCAACGAGAGATTGTGTCGGATCGAGTTCTGGTCCCCCGAGAAGCGATAAAGACACTGTTGTTATTATATTACGCAAGCTGGCGTTATTTGTCGCTGAAATGTCGTCGGAAACGTAATTTCGAAAAGGCTTTCCTTGAAAATTGGGCAGCAAGTGAAGCGAAGACTTGTACAAATTAAATAGATCTGTAATCGTTGATTAATTTAAGATCAATCCGATTTCTTTACCTGCCAGGCCGGATCGGCGTACTTGTAAAACAGGAAATTCTCTCGGATCCACGCGTAGATGTTCGAAAGGGAGACCTTGTTATTGTTGGCGCGCATCGCGAGGCAAATGATAGTGGCGTAGGAGAATGGCGGCTTCGCATCGGGATCCGTTCGATACTTCTCTGCATTTTCCGCGAGATCTAATAGGTGGAAAATTTAAAGAAAATTATGCTCGGTTGTATATGTGCAAAATAATACTGGGGGGTGTATTTTTAGCAATCTCCGTACTCTCATTCCGCGACTCGAAGATCGTTACATTAGACGTACACTATACCCAACTATTCGCAAAAATATAATTGAACAATTTCGAAATTGCATCCAAGTCTTCAATATACAGAGAAATAGAGCAGAAGACAGCAAATAAATTTGTATAAATTGTTCCGCTTTTTAATTTTTATTACTTTGAACAAACAATGTTGTATTTATTGTTTTTGCTTTGTCTCGTTTAATGTGCCTCGTCTTCTTCTTCTTCTTTTTCTTCTTGCTTAGCAAAGACACGAGGCTGACTTTACTCGTTTCTTAAATTTTAATAACTTGCATATCTCCCGAACAGCATAACTGTCTCGTACAAGCGACAAGTTTCTACACAATTTTTGAAAACTTTTAACGTCAACTGTAATGTAATAAAAAATAATATGTTTCATTTACAAAAGTTAGAAGTTTCGAAGAAAATTGTGCCTAAATTCTTTTTTTTTAATCAAATGATCTTTGGGATATCGCTGCATTTCTAAATATTTTTGCAAACTTTTAATATCAACTAAAATGTAATACGAGATTTGAAAAAGTTAGCAGTTTCGAAGAGAATTATATACTTAAATTATTTTTCAAAATCGAATGATCTTCAAGATGTCGCCGCATTTCTAAACATTTTTCCAAACTTCTAACATCAACTAAAACGTACTAAAAAATAATAAAGAATATATTTCATCAACTAAAACGTAATAAAAAATAATAAATAAAATATATATTTCTTTTACCAAGGTTCGAAGCTTCGAAGAAGATCATACTTAAATTATTTTTCAAAATCCAACGATCCTCGAGATATCGCCGCGTAAAATAACAGAAGCGCGCTTGCGATTCACCCGTTCCGAGAGTTAGATCCTTGAAACCTGGTTACCTAGTTCGGCCTTGACCAAGGGCGACAGTTTCTTCGGGGGCTGGCGGGCGAGCGGCGGCGGTGACGGCGAGCAGGGTGGCGTCGGCAGGCCGGACGCGCTGGTGATGTCCAGCGACTGCAGCCAGGAGAGGCTCGTCAGCTCGGCCTCGACTCCGTCGTGGTCGTCCGTGCTGTCCATGCTGTCCGCCGCGGCGGCGGCGGCGATGACGGCGGTGTCCTCCGTCGATACTTCAACTTCCGCTAGGTCGATCCTCATTTTTGCCGTCTCTCATCACCCGCGCCAGCGTGCCAGTGCGACGAGCGCCTACGGAAAATCCGACGGTCGCCCGTTTCCACGTTAATTCTCCCCGGAGGGCGCGTTTCTCGTCGGAGAACCGAGCGTACCCCTCGGTAGGCCGACGGCGATCGAATTGTTCGAAATAGACTCGGTAAAATAGACGACGACGACGACAGCGAGAACTGTTTTGCCCGGAAAGCGACGACGGCAAGCGCTGTCGAGGCGCGCAGCTTTCCGCCCGCTCGCGAGGGTGGTATCGCGCGATACCAGGGGAGGTCTGACGTCTCAGCTCCGATACTGCGCGGTTTCCGGAACCGCTCGCACGGTACTCGGAACTCCGTGATTCACCAGCTCGTGGCTAAAGGTCCTCCTGACGTCACAGAAACGATCGCGCGTTCGGGGTAAAACGCTCTTCACTCTTCTCCTCCTTGCTTCATCTCGCGGGCCAATTTTCACGCGCACCTCCACCGAGAACCCCGAAGCGCTCCTCGGAGGGCGAACGGCGTCAGATAATGCGTCACCCGACGCCCGTTCGCGGAAGGGCGCAACATCGATCACAATCCCGCGGAGGGTTGAAGAGCTTGGACCGGGAGAATAGAGAGAGAGAGAGAGAGGTGGGGGATTACAAAAATCGCGACACCACGCTCGAAACTGATGCTATTTCGCGCTATTTGCACAGCCCGACCAGGTATACGAAGTGCGCGATTAACGACCACCGACTGCGAGAAAGAGTGACGTGCACACGGCACGGTCGGGCGAGTTCGACTGGTGGTAGCAAAGGGGTGGAACGCGCTGGCTGGCTGGCTGGCTGGCTGGCTGGCTGCCCGTGTGCCTACCTGCTTACCAGCGATCTGACGGAGGCACCTTGGTGCCGCGCGTGTGGTGACAGGTGCTGGGTTCCCTCTCGCACAGGTGGACCATGCACGCGCGTCGGCCAGACCCGCCGACGACCCTCTTTTCCTTTTCGTCGACCCTCCCCTAACTGAAACCAGCCAGGGGGAGCCTTTTCACCCTCGGCTCGCCCTCGGCTCATGCCGATCGTGGCGAGTACGAGGCGACGCAGAAATATTTCAGGTGACGCAGATGACGTATGTCGATAAAACGATTAAATTAATTGAATTAAGAGATACGTCGGCCGCGTAACACGGCGACGGACGCCCCGGGTCTTCCTCGTGTCTCGGTCATACAGGGACCCGAATTGTTTCGAATATCGAGGGGCCGCAAATGCGTGAAAATCTTGGAGAATTTTTTCACGACTTTGACCGCCTTGAAACTCTCTGGCCGGTTTCACCAAACGTCGCTTAACTTTGATCTCAGTTCAATTCATGTCTGTCTCTTCCTAAAGGAACAGTTGGAAGGAGACAAAGGACGAATTAAACTATAAGCTTAAAGTTAAGCGACGTTGGTGACACTTAAGAGTCTTAACGTCTAGAAAATTTGCCTGTATTTAAATCTAAAGTGTTTACGAATTCTTACAAATAGAATTGTTAAGTGGAGAATAAGTTGAAGTAATAATATAATGCTGTAAAGGAAGAAACATTCTTTTAACGTTCAGAATTTTCCACACATTCAAGCCTTTTGAGATAAGCAAAATTTTCGAGGTTTGGTTTCGAATGACATTAGAGAAATTCGGAATTCTTATGTTTTTTAAAATAATTCGACTGGAATCTATCGCGAAGTTTTCGCAAACTAATTTTTTTATAAAAAAATATTCGAATCTTTTGAAACACAATTTAAAAGAAAAAGTTTTAATGCATGTACCGTCACATTACAGATCGTTTGGTCTCGATCTAATTACGCGAATACATCTCGAATAATTGTTTTATATTAAACACAAACACAGGGATACATAAACCTTCTTTAGTAGAAGACCCTCTGCAATCGCTGCTTCATATTTATTGTAGAACAAGGAGAGGTTATTTGAATCAGTCAACAATGAAATAAAACATTTTCAAGACCAGAAGCCCCGAAAAAAGTCGAAAAGCCTCCTTGAAAATTTTATATCCGATATTTTCCTTAATTGTCCCAAAATGGCTTTCCCTTATATCCAAGCGTTCGATAAACGCCCAAACGCGACACGATTTACACGATTTTTCGGGGTTTTCACGGGAGGGAGGAGTGTGATGATTAATTTCAAATTTTCCGAATGCACCGTGTGCGGGAACGTCTTTTCCGAGAACAAACGAACAGAGGCGTATTTCGTCCTGTCTGCGCTGCAGGCGGGGGGTGGATCGCCCACTCGCCTTGGTACAGGCGGCCTCCATTGATCGAATCGGGGGAGGCAGCGACCGCCAGTTACGATAAAGCCGGCGCGCGAAAGAGAGGGGTAGGAGCCACGGCCATTCGACCGAGACGAGAGAATGGCGCGCAAGATTCACCCCGGGACCTCATCATCATTGGTCGGCGTCCATGCGGGATCGTTAGCACGAGATTTGTCAGTCCTACCGAATCCACACAGACGCGGGACGGCCGCGCGTACGATACGTACACGTAGACGCTTTTGGGCGTTCTACGGAGGACGGATCCTCCTTCCGGGGAAAATGCCACGCGGAAAAATACTTCGTTGCGATAAAAGAAAGAATTTAAGAGGACAAGCGCTTCCGACCTCAAAATGTGCGCCACGAACTTTCTCTACCGACGGTAGCACTCGATCTTGGACCCTCTGAAGCACGAACACGTTACGCCTTCCGAAATGAAAAAAAAAACCAACGCTTCTTTCACTCCGACGTCTTTACTGTTTTATATCTAGGTTTTCGGTTCGCTAATTCTGAGTCTGAAGTCGATATTCTAAAATTATCGAAGATTGACTCAGTATAGCAGCTCGAAGTTGAAGTTTTACTTAAAAAAAAATTCAACAAGACAAACGCTTCCGATCTTAAAATGTGCACCACGATCTTTTGCATACCAATCGAAACCGGCGAGGGCATTGTGGTGTACAGATTTGCGGCATTACTATGCATTTTTGGGCATTAGTTTGGGCATTAGGCCTTGCTGGGGCATTATAAAGATAAAATAAAATAAAATAAGATAATAAGATAAACAAATAATAAGGATAACGTCGACAATTAACTGGCACAATATATTTCGTTTAGAACATACAACGTTTCGACCAGTAATACTGGTCCTTATCAAGTATTAAAAAATTTCTTAGCAACCCATTAGATGTGACAGCAAAAATCTAAAACATGATTAATGTGGAATAAGTTTAAAATATTTTATATCTACTCCATATGTGTTACTGTGCAGAGTGATTCGTTCCTCCATGTATTCTTATATTATTACCAATGTTACCCGTAAGTTTTTAAGATGTGGTTTTAAGATGCGTTAGATTTGTAACATCTGACTTATTCCACATTAATCATGTTTTAGATTTTTTGCTGTCACATCTAATGGGTTGCTAAGAAATTTTTTAATACTTGATAAGGACCAGTATTACTGGTCGAAACGTTGTATGTTCTAAACGAAATATATTGTGCCAGTTAATTGTCGACGTTATCGTTATTATTTGTTCTTTACTTACTGGCGATCCATCTCTAAAAGTTTTTGATAATAAGATAAAGTAATGCCCACTGGGCATTGCTGTACAAGATTTTGGTCGACGGTTTCCCCCTTGGGAAAAATGTATGCTTCAAAGGGTTAATTTTGAGTATATGATTGTTACGTGTTTTGCGCAGCTTTTCCATGCAATATTATATCTGCGCAAACGTAGCGATATCGTTAACATTTACAGAACAGTCCCTTTAATCTCTAAAGGATTGAGGCCCCTTTTCTAGGATTCCTTAAGCAATCGTTATTTTGAAAAAATTTCCAGATTCCTACGAAAGGTTAAACTAGCAAGTTAAAAAAACAAGCGAACTTAAAAGTTAAATGCATACACGAATTTCTTGTTAACACATTTCTCTTGCGATAATGTTGGATCCTCGTCACGCGTTTCGCGATAAGTTCGCTATCAAACTCGCCAAGTTTCTGGAGGGTGAGTAAGGTATTTCGAAATGTGTTGACTAGTTGCACGAATTAGGGGATGAATTACTTCAGATTAATACTACAAAATGTGTTTCAGATAAGGGAGTGGAAGACCAAGTTTCAGTAATTGATTAATTCGATTAATTATATAAGATCGCTTTCTGCCTGGGCAATAAAACTTGGCAATCAAGAGAGAAGTAATATTATCGTCACTCTATGTTTTATAACGTAATTGTCAATATTTTAACGCATTTTCTCGCGTGTTATTTAATTAAATCTTCTGGCAAAAATAATTCGTACATTGCATTTGAATTGTAAAGCGTCGATAAAGGCGTTTGTGCACAAATGCGAGGCCTGATGCGATCTGTGAAGGTTAAAAAAATATATAAAGTAACTATTGATGTAACTGAGTTAAGTTACAGTTGGGAGAGAAAGTAACGAAATTAAGTTAGAGTTACCAAACGAAAAGTAACTGTAACTGTAACTTCGTTGCAAATAACGAGTTACTTCCCAACCCTGTAATTATATTAATGGTGACGTCTACATTTCGTCCCTCCTGCGCCAGAATCGCGAACGCGCAAATTGCACAAAACGGCAAAGCAATTCAACTCCGAAGTAAAAGCCGATCTCCCGTTTTTCCCGGGGGCTTCAATTTAATTCTACAACTAGTTCGTGCAAATTTGCGCGTTCGACACGTTTTCCCCAATTCAACGCAACGCCGAGCCATCGCCGTTCCGGCCGAGGGACGAAAGAAGACGAGCCCCAGGTCCGGGAGGAGAATCCTCGGGGACAGGAGGCGAGGAGGTCCGAAGGAGAGAATCCGGCCGGACGCCATCGCACCGAGGACCTCCCTCTCGTCATCGACTACATCGTCGCCCGGTGGAAATATCTGCGCGGCTGATCAATAATCTCCCGGGAACATCCGCGCGCGGGGGACGCGCGGAGGACGCGAGAGTCCCCCTGTCTACCCTGTCGGGGGGGGTTTACTGGCTGGCCGACTGGCCAGCCAAGCAACGGCTGGAGGTGGTGGTGGCGGAGCAGCAGCACCTCCAGCCGAGTATCAGCAACCGGCGGCGAGCACCTGCCGCGTTCTCCCCCGCGCGCTGGCGGAGGGACCCGCTCGGCTCGTGAGTCACTACCACCACGTTACCTGCGTCGCACGGAGCCGACGACGTGTTACGTGCGGCGCGACGTAACACATTACGCGCCGCGCAAAAAGACGTAATGGGACCGGCATAGCGCGCACTATCTCGCGCCCGAATCGATTCGGACGTTAAAGCCGCGAGACGATCTATTTCCGCTGTGACCGCCCCGCTGGCGCTCGATCACGTTCGAGCGATTACGCTCGAATATAACGCGGGTTATAAGTCGATCATGAATTCCGAGAGGGGGCGGAGCGACAGGGGGAGAAAAGATACGGGGTGTAAGGCGCGGGATGAAGCGACGCGTTCTCGTCGACCTCGCGGCGATTCTTTTTTTTCTTTCCTCCTCCCCCCGAAGATCGGCGCCGAATATACGATCCTCTCGGCGATTTTGCAAATCGAACAGCCGGCGCAATGTCGCCGCGAGGGGGTGGCGAACGAGTCAGGCGGGCGATGGTCTGTCTCTCCTTGAGAAACGGTGCGTCCTCCTGAGAATGCGAACGGGTCACCCGCGATAGGAATGATGTGGACGTATTTCAGTGGGCGATTTAAAAGCCCGGACGATATCGGCGGGGGGCTACGGATATAGACTCCGACGCGGACGCGCGCCCGGAGTTCCGGGAGGGCGGAGCGGCACGCGCATCAAATATTCAAGAGAATTGATTCCGGGCCGAGCTGCAGCAGCAGCAGTAGCAGACACATAATCTACACCGTCGCGACTATTCGCGGCGGTAATCGTTGCCAATGTACGCCCGTAGAACCGCGAGGCCCTTACGTCTCTCTCTCTCTCTCTCTCTTTGGCATCAAGGATTTATACGAAGTAGAAGAAAAGAGAAATGCCCGAAGAAAATCCGAGGAAATAAGGGTTCTTGTTGTTGAATAAATTTATAGTTTACTGCCCAATTGTAGATTGGACATTTCGACTGTACTGATCGTAAAAGTCTCCCTCGGCGATAATTAAGACGAAAAGTATGAAAATTACAAAGGAAAAATCGAGCGATATCGCCGTCGTCTAAAAAAATTGCCATAGAAATATCGGGAATGCAACTTTCGATACATTCTCGTTATTTTTTAAAAGATTAAGTCTTCCTCGAAATAATATCTTTGTATTCGAACATTTCTTCTTGACCTCCGTGCTAGTTTTCGGATTTTGTTCGCACTAAAACGACCATTTTCGTTGGAAAATCACAGTGGCGCACTTTCTATCTCACTAGGATTTTTTAACAGATTCAAGAAACGAGGAACATGAAAATTATACAGGGAAAATCGAGCGATATCGCCGTCGTCTAAAAAATTGCCATAGAAATATTAGGAATGCAACTTTCGATACGTTCTCGTTATTTTTTAAAAGATAAAATCTTTCTCGAAACAATATTTCTGTTTTTTTTTCTCTCGATTTCCGTGCTAGTTTTCGGAATCTGTTTGCGTTAAAACGAAAATCTTCGTTGGAAAATCACGGTGGCGCACTTTCTATCGCGCTAGGATTTTCTTAACAATTTCAAGAAACGTAAAACTCACCCCCGATTCAAATCGATGCGAGAGCACTTCGCCGACCGACGGGGATGGAGAGTCGTCAGGCGGCGGATGGTCCTCGCATCACCTCGGAAATACCGTTCGTGGACTACTTCGGTCTGTTTCGTCTCGAAACTGATGAGTTTCAATATCCTCGCGGTACCTCACGTACAAAGTACAACGCAACACCGTCTACCAGCGTCACGCGCGCGGCGCCGAATTACCGGGACGTTAATTGAACATTCTCATCCAATCGGCTACAATTCCGCGTCGACGACGCGTTTGCTGCCTCTCGCGAAAATCCGAGTTCGTTTCAGCGCATCGGCCGCGGTGGTTCCGTCCGAACTAACGACCGGCCACCCAGGAACGCTCCGGCACCGTCAACCACCATAGCACCATTCTACCGCCATCTTCTTACCTGTGCAAACGGTACCACTACGACAGGTACGGCAGGTGCGCGTACACGATCGCCCAGGGTTATCGATTACAGTCATTACCTCGCTCCCGCGCGAGAAATGCCGACGAGATAGCACCGACGACCCAGGACGCATCCGAAGAGACGCGATCATCCCCATTCTGCCGCGAGAGAATTGAAGACTCGCGCGGATCCGGCGTGACGCCGAGTTGCACTCCTCATTTCTTGTCTCGTATAATAAACCGAGGATACTTTGGAGAACGACTGGAACGGACAGAGCGGAGGGAAGCGCGATAATCGGCGGGGTCCCCTGGCGCAACGGCGAAATTACACCTGGACCCGCAGCTATTAGAACCTGCCGGTAGACGAGCCGCCACGTGGGAGATAAGAGGGACTCGCCGGTCGGAGTCACGAGGAGTCGACAGGGCGTAGGAAAAAACAGAAGCACTTGGCACGCGCCAAGCCGAGGGGAGAGACGCGCCGAGAGAAAGGGCGAGGGGAACTGCGAGTGTGTCGATGATTTATTTCCATTACATTACAGCACTCCTAACATTTGATACTCGTATTTAAATCTGTCCTAAGAAAATCCTCGAAAACAGCCTACGCGGGTGTATCCTCGTTTTATCATCTTGGCGACTAGTCCGCCGAGCACTCCTGTAACGCTCCTTACAAAAGATCGTGGAAACCAGGACTTTAGGCAAGATACAGTGATGCGTATATACAGGATGAACCGTGATTCGCGACGCGAGCGGAAAAGAAACGATCACTCGTGCAGAAATAAATTGGAGAGGCTGTTGCAACGCCTTCTCCTTTTGACGAGGCGTAATTTTTGAGAAGAAATCAGATTTGTAAAGTTGAACGCGCACTTTACCTCGATGATAACCGGCAGTTGGAAAATTGTTCTCTGCGGCCTGGTTTTTCATTTTCTGGTTAACTGTTAACTAGAAGTTAATCGATTCTCTATCTCTTCTTAGATAATAATATAAAAAAAGATAGAGAGTCGACTAATCTCTGGTTAACAGTCAACCAGAAAATGACAAACTGGGACGGCAACATCTATTATTGCCACGTAGCGAATTTTTGAGCCACATGACATCCGCATGTATCGTGCTGTAACTCGCAACGAGTCTTGTAATCGGCAGCGTAGTAAAGAGGGGGAGCGGTTCACCCCAGGCGCAAGTCTTTCCTTACCAACTCCACTGCTCGCAACGAGAGAATTTAACTGGAGCCGATACAAAAAGTAAATCCTATCGTTGTGAACGTTTACTTACACGAATAGAAATAGCAGTAGGTGGATATCTGATGAATTTAAAATCTGATTTCCTCTCCTCCTCTCCTAAAAAAATAACAGTGCTTTATATACGAAAATGCGATATTTTTCCGTGACCTATCTCTACATGAAGAATCGTCTCCTTTCCGTTTGTATCACGAATTACGGCCCGCTGTACAGATACAGGTATGTATAGATATATATAGATATATATACACACATATATATCTGCATACGTACGTGCATACGCATACGTATGATCCGCCGAAAATTCATTTGGATAAATTGCGCTATCGCGAGAAGAGTTACATGAACCGAGGGAAATGCTGTCGGGGCGCGACGTGTATCTAGGATCGTATTGAACGAGCGAGAAAGAGACGAGAAAGGATGGCGGAACAAGAGAAGGGAAGGACGTACGCGCGTACGCAATCGCCATTCGGTATTTAACGGGACGCCAGGGCACGCGATTGCGGAACTTTCCGGAGTGGATTCCGATCGGAATTGTTCCGTTACTTTCCGGAAAAACGCAATCGACGTCCAGGAAATAGCCGGACAATTCCAATCGGAATCTACTTCCGAACAATTTCACAATACGCGCCCAGCTCGCCGACGCACATCTCGATACTCGTTCTGTGTACACGGTGGCTCCGCGGCCACAGAGAATATAAATTCTAAGTGAGACGACGACGCACGTCGACAGAAACAATGATCGGTTTCGCTATCTACGCTAGATCGTTGGGAGTGCGATAATACCGTTCGTGACACGGTACTCGGAGGGCGAGAGTCTGAGGAGGGCTGCAAAAAACCGAGGTACTATGACGCCGTGACGTGCCCTGCTGTCGTCCCGCCGCTCTCGTCACCGATTCTTATGGTTGATTGGTAGTGAACGGCGTCACTCCGTTATTAGCCATATTGTCCAGAACACCGCTGATGTACGCCGCGACGTCGATCGTCGCTTCCTCGGCTTGCCTGATGAACGGATGTTCCAGCAGTTTATTGTACTTCGGTCGCTGCGTCTCCTCCTTAATTAAGCTTAAAAGACACAAAGCAATTTAACAAGGGAACCGTCTCGGTTGCCTCGACGGGTAGGAAGGCGTCAAGTTTACCATGTATTCACAAAGTTCACAAAGTCCATGGTGAAGTGATTGCCGTTCTCATTGGGGGAGAGCCGCGGCGGATCACCTTGCACTACTTGATAAAGTTGTTCAAAGACGGAGTTCCACTTCGGGTAAGGGAAGTACCCCGTAGCAACCTCCATCAGTGTAATACCTAATGACCACACGTCGCTCCGCACGTCGTAACCACGTGCGCGTTGCGGATCTATCCTCTCCGGCTAAACAATCACCAATTGATATTTATGAAGCGCTCGGGTGACTCGATACGAGCCGCAGCTCGTTTTCAGGGCCGTTAAATCCACCTGCGGTAAAACTTACAGCCATGTACGGTCTGCAGCCAGCGTCCCGGGTCCTCGCGATCGAGTCTACAAGCTGACCGGATATACCGAAGTCGCACAACTTTATATTACCTCGACGATCCAATAAAATATTACTAGGTTTCACATCTCTATGGATTATCCTTAGTTTCTCCTTGAGGTAATTCAACGCCTTCACAGTAGCCACTGTGATTTTGCCTAGAATACATTCCGGTATCCTCTCGTTTAATCTCTCATAGATGAATTTGTAAAACTTATCTAACGACGTGTCCATAAGTTCCATGCAAATCCAACAATCCCCCTGTGCGTGACGAAAGGAAAAGATTAACTCCAACTGCCTTCGTCACTGACACCAGCGATACCGTCGAGCCATACATACCTCTTTAAACAAAGCCCCATAAAATTGCACAATACACGGGCACTCGTTCGACTTCATCACAACTTCTAAATCCATTAACAGTTGCTTTTGTTCTCTTTCGTCAACGGTAGAGCGAATTCTCTGAGATATAATTAATATAATTAATCGAGATACAAGTTCAAGGCGCAAAAGCGAGAAACCAGTTGCCTACCTTCACAGCCATAACGGTATTGCTTATCCTATGAATCATCTTATTTACAGTTCCAAATCCTCCCCGTCCTATCTCTCCGAGATCCTGCAGATCCTCGCTTGTGAAATCATACACTACGTCCGTAGACAACTGCAATTTACCAGTGCTCTGCATAGACTGGCACATTCGTAGTTTGTCTCTACAACAAGCCCCGTTGTAATTTATCTCAAAAGATAAGTTTCCCTTCTGTTTCTAATGCCATACCTTGCCTTGTCGGGAAGAAATTCTTGCTGCGGTAACATATTGCGAGGTCTGACTGGCAGCTTAGGTAGAGGTAAAGGCAGACTTGGGCGGGAGGATCTGTCGCGTTCACCGAGCGGAAAAAAAGAAGATCTTATTATTACGGTAGCGACAGACAACGGCGTGGAATTACTTTGCTCGATAAAATCTCACATTGGTGGACACGCCGTGGCTCCTGTCGAATTCGACAACGAGGAATTTGTGGAATTGGCAAACGACAAATTATTGCCCTGGGTTTGGAAACTAAGTTTCAGCTGTCTTCGCCTCTCTGTAACAGAACGGCAGGATTACGAGGAGCCACGTCCCAACGTCACGAAGATCTCCCCTCTCGTTCTCCGAGATCGCGCAACCGCGAAAACCTACCCGACATCTCGTTCTGAACGTCATTGTTTGTTCGAAAGTCCATTCGCGGGAAGTTGAAGGATCTGCCGGAACCTGCAACGTCGAGAATTACGATTAATCTCCGATCGCGGAGAGAGTGTAGGGGATCAATTCTATATCTTACAATGTAGCAAAAGTGCTCAAAACGAGCGGCTTCATCTCTTTCTAAGACAGAGAGACGAAGCTACTCGCTTTTAGCATTTTCACTATGGCGCAATGTGCCGTCCACAATGCACGGAGTAAGAGAGAACCATGACCTTTTAGTCTTTGGTGCGAGGAAGCTAAAATACAGGCACAACTCTTCTAATATTTTAACACTAGCCGATGGGGTTTCGTTGCGACCGAGAGCAAGCGTAAGAGCTGGAGTAGAAGTAAGAAGTAAAACTGATTTCCCCAATCCTCCTTACTCCACGCATTGTAGACGCACAAAGGCCGTTCTACAATTGCGTAAACGTGGTTGTTTGCGGTTGTACAGTGTTGTACTAGTTTAAAACCGTGTTTTACAACACAGTTTTAAACTAGCACTTCCAATTGTAAAGTCTGTTGTAAAAGATGGCTCGACTTTTCATCTTTCACGACTACAACGATATGGGACGCAACAGCTAGCCAATCATTCACTTCAATTACGACGTATCTTACTCTATTGTATATTACTTTGATGTACAACACTTACTACTACTTCTATTCCGACAACCCTACAACTACGTTCACGCAATTGTAGAATGGCTTTAAAGAAATGAATCACTTCCATTTCTTACTTCTACTTTCAGCTCTGACGCTGACTCTCGAATTAGAGCGCAGCTCGACCAGTGCTATATTTTTAAAAATTACGCCTGTACTTGAGCTTTCACACAGATAAATAAAGATTATGGTTTTCTTCATTCTTACTGCTTACTTCCAATGTAGACGGTCCTCAAATCATCGTCTACGATACGTGGAGCTTTTGGTGCAGGGAAGCTAAAATATAGGCGTAATTTTTAAGACATTTGTAACACTGGCCGATAGCGTTCCGATTCGCCGAGTAAGCGCGAGAGCTGGAGCAGGAGTAGGGGAGAAAATTGATTAACTTCCTTACTCCAGGCTTCTGCCGCGCACTGTAGACAACACATAAGCGCTGGTCTACAATACGTGGAGTAAGCGTGGAGTAAGGAAGAGCCCTTAACTTCTAGCTTTAGGTGTAAGGAAGCTGAAATACGGGCATAATTTTTAAAATATTTGTAACCCTGATTGATGGCATTTTGTTTCACTGAGAGTAAGCCTAAAGGCCAATGTCCACGATG